GTATTCTGTTAGAGAGAGAGAGAGAGAGAGCGTCCTAGGGCTTGAACTCAGGACCTGGGTGCTGTCCCTGAGTCAAGGCTAGTGCTTTACAACTTGAGCCACAGTACCACTTACAGTTTTTGAGTGGCTAATTGGAGATTAGAGTAGCACAGGAACTTTTCTGCCTGTGGTTATTTGAAGATAAGAGTCTCATGGACTTTCCTACCTGAGCTGGCTTTGAACTGACATCCTCAATTCTTAGCCTTCTAACTAGCTGGGAGTAGAGGCATGAGCCTCCAGCACCTCGCTTTGTGTTTTGGTTTATTTGTTCTTTTTCTTCTTTTTTTTTTTTTTCTGGTCAGGCGAGGGGCTTGAACTCTGGGCCTGGGCACTGATACTCAGCTCTTTAGCTCAAGGCAAACGCTTTACCACTGGAGCCACATCACCACTTCCAGTTTTCTGAGTGGTTAATTGGAGATAAGAATCTCACGGACTTTCCTGCCTAGGCTGGCTTTAAACTGTGATCCTCAGATCTCAGTCTTCTGAGTAGCTGGGATTACAGGCATGATTACAGCACCCAGCTGGTTTATTTTGTACTTAAGGGGGGAAATTTATTTGGTTCATGCTCTAAGGGCGGCATCTTATGATGGTGGGGAGAGCATAGTAGGGCAGAATGGTTCAAGACAGCCTAAAAGCAGATCTCTCCTTGTATTTCACTCTCCCTTTATTTCATCCAGGTTCCTACTTTCAGGGAAGGTCCAGTCATATACTTAGGCCTCTCTGGTAAAACACTCTCACAGACACCCATGTAGCTAACAAATCTCCTAGGTGACGTAGATCCAGTCTGGTTGATAAAACACAGCCTTCACAAGTCTATCCCACAGGGCCTAGAACTCAGTTCACCTGCCTGTACCACGGGAGCCACACCTGTTCTACTGTTAGCTGGTAATTTCAGAGATGAAGTTAGTACTGAAATCTCTCTGCCTGGACAGGCCTCAAACCACAATCTTCCAGATTTCATTCTCCTGAGTAGCAAGGATTATCTGGATGGATCCCTGGTTCCCAGCCTGTCTACAACTTTAAAAGCATTCTTTCTGGGGGAGGGGGGAGGATTGGGTAGGGGGGTAGGGGGGAGGCTGGGAAGGGATGTGAAGGGTAAACAAAGGAGGAGGCTGAAATGCTTGATAAGAAATGTACGCATTGGGGCTGGGAAGGTGGCTCAGTGGTAGAGTGCTTGCCTTGCATGCCTGAGGCCCTGAGTTTGATTCCCCAGCACCACATAAGCAAAAAGAAAAAAGCCGGAAGTGGCGCTGTGGCTCAAGTGGTAGAGCGCTAGCCTTAAGCTGAAGAGCTGAGGGACAGCGCCCAGGCCCAGAGTTCAGGCCCCATGACCAGACCCAAAAAAAAAAATTAAAAAAAAAAAAAGAAAAGAAATGTACGCATTATCCTGCCCATGTAATTGTAACCCCTCTGTACAGTATGTTCACAAAAAAAATTAAATTAAATTTAAAAAATAATAAAATAAAAGCATTCTTTCTATTTTCCCTCAAACCACACATTTTCAAGTATTTCTACTCTTGCTTGTGCTCCAATTCTCACAGGAACCTGGCTTTGAGCAGGAATATCTATGCCACAGCCTAAATGACATGCCATTTTGAAATTTCACCAAATTAATTTGTCCATTACTTTATTTTTTAATTTTTTTGTGTATACAAGTCCATTTATTTGAAAGGCCCAGAACATACAAATCTGTGTATAGGAAAGGTAAATTACAGGTTGCCTCTGGCTTCCTGGGAGGAGCGATGAAGGAGCAGGACTACTGGGGAGTAGTTCCTTTGGGGGTAGACTTAAAATGTCTTCAAACTGGGCTGTGTGGATGGCTGGCTCTGCTACTCTAGGAGTATACTAAAAACTGAATTCTATACCTTAACAGGTCAATAGGATGGCATATAAATTCTATCTCAATAAGTTGCTTTCTTAAAAAGTTGTAAAGTAGGGGCTAGGAAGGTGGCTCAGTGGTAGAGCACTTGCCTTGCATGCCTGAGGCCCTGGGTTTGATTCCCCAGCACCATATTACAAAAAAGAAAAAAATCCAGAAGTGGCGCTGTGGCTCAAGTGATAGAGCACTAGCCTTGAGCTGAAGAGCTGAGGGACAGTGCCCAGGCCCAGAGTTCAGGCCCCATGACTGGACAAAAAAAAAAAAGTTGTAAAGTAAAAATGAGATAAGGAAAGACTATCAACATAATACTGCAGGGTAACACTAAACAAGATAAAATCAAAGACGATGAATTTCTTATTGATGAAATAATATAAAGTTTAAGCATACACTAAGAATCTTTCACTACCTGCATGTCAAGGACTCAAATACACATCGTGTAGAGGAGGGAAATAAGAAGCAAAAGGAAACTGAACTCCAGGAAAGTCCTACAGTGCTTCCAGTATAATATTTTGTTTCCTTCCTTCCATCCTTCCTTCCTTCTCTATTTCTTTGTTTTTCCTTCTTTCTTTCTTTCTTTTTCTTCCTTCCTTCCTTCCTGCCTCCCCCCTCCCTCCCTCCTTCCTTCCTCCCTCTCTCCCTCCCTCCCTTCTTCCTTCCTTCCTTCCTTCCTTCTTCCCTCTCTCCCTCCCTCCTTCCTTCCTTCCTTCCTTCCTTCCTTCCTTCTTTCCTTTATTTCAATGATACTAAAGATTGAACTCAGAATACTTTGCTAGGCAAGTACTCTAACACTTGAGCCATTACTAACACTCCATTACTTTTATTTTTTATTTTATTTTATTTTATTTTTTGGTCAGTCTTGGGGCTTGAACTCTGGGCCTGGCCGCTGTCCCTCAGCTCTTCAGCTCAAGTCAAGCACTCTACCACTTAAGCTACAGTGCCACTTCCGATTTTCTGGTGGTTTGCTGGAGATAGGAGTCTCACAGTCTTTCGTACCTGGGCTGGCTTTGAACTGCAATCCTCAGATCTCAGCCTCCTGAGTAGCTAGGATTACAGGCGTGAGCCACCAGCGCCCGGTTTCCATTACTTTTAAAAAGAGCTTTATTGTTATTATTAAGCTGTTGTACAAAGGGGCAACTATTTCATAAGTCAAGTAATGAGTACATTTCTTTCTTTTTTAAGTACTTTTTTATTGAGATTGTGATTACATAAATTTCACAAATATTGTGGGATAGTGTTAGTTAAAGTCACAAACACGTTTTAACCTTTACAAGGCAAATTGTCATTATCGTGGTCTATAAAGTTTATGAATTCTGGGGCTGGGAAGGTGGCTCAGTGGTAAAGCTCTTGCCTTGCATGCCTGAGGCCCTGGGTTCAATTCCTCAGCACCACATAAGCAAAAAGAAAAAAGCCGGAAGTGGCGCTGTGGCTCAAGTGGTAGAGCGCTAGCCTTGAGCTGAGGAGCTGAGGGACAGTGCCCAGGCCCAGAGTTCAGGCCCCATGACCGGACCCAAAAAAAAAAACAAAAAACAAAGTTTATGAATTCTATGAGCTTTGACAACACAACTATTTCTTCCACACCGGGTGATATGTACATTTCTTTCCTTTTGCTTAGTGTAAGCTGTCCCACCCCCACTTTATTTAATTTATTTTTGTTCATAGGGCTTGAACTTGGGGCCTAGGTGCTATTTCTGAGCTCTTTTTATTCAAGGTTAGCTCTCTACCACTTTGAGCCACAGCTCCACTACCAGTTTTCGAATGGTTAATTGGAGATCACAGGGACTTTTTTTTTTTAGGGGTCCGGTCGTGGGGCCTGAACTCTGGGCCTGGGCGCTGTCCCTCAGCCCTTCAGCTCAAGGCTAGCGCTCTACCACTTGAGCCACAGCGCCACTTCCGGCTTTTTTCTTTTTGCTTATGTGGTGCTGAGGAATCGAACCCAGGGCCTCAAGCATGCAAGGCAAGCGCTCTACCACTGAGCCACCTTCCCAGCCCCCACAAGGACTTTTCTGCCCAGGCTGGCTTTGAACCGCAATCCTCAGATCTCAGCCTCCTGAGTAGGTAGGGTTACAGGCATGGCCCACCAATGCCTGACTTGAGTACATTTCTTTTTTTGGACAATGTCACCCTTTGCTTTGCTTTCCCCTAGTCTCCCCCTCCCATCCCTGCCCACAAGTTAAACAGTTCATTTTCCACATAGTGTATACTGAATAGCGTGCTCATATTTGTTCACTTTCCCTCTCTTTCTGCACCCTCCTATACTCCTTTAAAAGAAAAAAGAAAACCCAAAGCAAATCAAAAATCACAATAACAACAACAAAAAGAACCCACATTTCCATTTCCTGGACTTGTCTGTTAAAGTTAAACTCTCAAGACATGGACTAAATGTAAACTTTTTTTTTTTTTTTCCAGAAAGTAATACACATGGCCTGTAATCCAGTTCCTAACAAAACTCTGTTCCCATCTAAAACTCGTAAGCTTGGCCGTCGCTGCCATTCCTCTCCTTCCTGCTGGTCAGTAGACCAGTGCATCCACTAGACCACTCATTGACCTCTCCTTAAAGCATCCAGTAGACCACTCATTGACCTCTCCTTAAAGCATCCCTAGACCACTCATTGACCTCTCCTTAAAGCATCCTAGGCTTTCTCTAGCCCACACCTCCAAACTTCTCCAAATTCTGTACACCAGCTCCACAAGTCAAAGTACCACACAGTCAGATTTAGCCACAGCAAAGACCCCATAGCTTTGGTACCAATTTTCTGCATTAGTTCCTTTTATCATCGCTGTGATCCAAATATTGAGAGGAAAACTTATGGAAGGAAAGATTAATTTTGGCTAAAAGTTTCAGAATGCCAACCCATTGTGGCAGGAAAGCATGGCAGAATGAACAGTTCACATTATGGCATCAGGAAGCAAAAGAAAAAGGTCTATTCTCTGTGTTAGGGTTTTTTTTCTTCTTCATATTTGGGGTTCAAAAGACTATCTTACAAAGGATATGTGTAGATCCTTCTAGTCAAGCACGACTATAATGTTGATATAGAGTATAATTAATTCACAATACTAAATGCTATATTATTTTAATTTTCAGTGAAGGGAATTTGGCTACAAAACAAGTAGTGTTCCTTCAGAGGCCAGTTATGTGGAATTCAGCTGCTCACACCCCAGAGGTGAGAAAAATTAATGTTTAAGCAAACAAGTCAAGCCACAAACTGTAGGAGGGAAAAACTCACATAACACCTATACAATGATCTTGTACTATGTCTAGAACACATTAAAAATTCTGGGGGGGCAGCTTGTCTGTGACTTTTAAGTATCACTAGCACACAATACTGTGAAATTTATATAATCACTTAATCGCAATAAAAAATTTTATTTAAAAAAAAAAAAAAAAAAAAAAAAAAATTCTGGGGGGGGGAAGGGGAAGGGGAGTAGGAGTGTGGGAGGTGGGGGAGGGAAGGGATAGTGGGACAACCTCAAGGAAGGGAAGAGGTAACAATGATCGACAAGTAACGGACTCGTTGCCTTACTCATGTAACTGTAACCCCTCTGTACAGCATCTTAACAATAAAGTAAAATAAAGTAAATAAATAACTCAAAATTCAACAGTAAGAAAGCAATGGTACTTAAAAATAGTTAAAAGTGTTAGATATGTTACAAATGAAGTTATGTAGACAAGAAATAAGCACAGTGAGAGATATTTAGGTTGGGTACTGGTAGCTCACATCTGTAATCCAAGCTTCTCAGGAGACTGAGATCTGATTATCATTGTTCAAAGCCATTGAGGCAGGAAAATCCATGAGACCCTTATCTCTAGTTAATCAACAAAAAGCTGGACAGGGAGTTGTAACTCAAGTGGTAGAGTGCCAACTTTGACTAAAAAATGCCAAGGGACAGCTCCTAGATTTTGAGTTCAAGTCCCACTACTGGCACACACACACACACACACACACACACACACACACACACCACTTACATTACTCTCCATCAGGAAAATGCAGATAAAGACCACAATGAGACACCACCAGTAGAAGATACACCTATTAGAAGGGGGAAAATAAAAACAAAACTGCTGTCTGTAACTACGAGCTGCTAATGCAGAGTAGGAAGCAGAACTCCAATTGCAGGAATGCACCATAACACAGCGCTCTGCAATACCGTTTGGCAGATTCTTAACAAAGTTAGACACATGTTTACCATGTTACCTCAGCCATGCCCAGTTGGGATATTTATCCTAGAGAAGTATAAACTTATGTTCACACAAAAACTTGTACACAAATATTTATAGTGGTGAAGTCAGAATTGACAAAATGAGGGAAAGATCCACAAGATGGATGGATAAACAACTCTGGTACATCCATACAATTAAGTACTACTCCAAAATAAAAAGATATGAGCTAGTGGTACAAACAACTTGGGTTCCTTGCATCAGTGTTATGAGTGTTAGGCTCAGCGGGGATCTGGTTGCTCATGCCTATAATGCTCACTACTCAGAAGACTGAGATAGGAGAATTCCGATTCAAAGTCAGCTAGGGCAGAAAGTACAGAACATACTTATCTCCAGTTACCCAGCAAAAAAGCCAGAGTGGAGCTGTGGCTCAAGGGGTAGAGAGCCAGCCTTGAGGGGGAAAGAACGCAAACAGAGAGTATCAGGCCTTAAATTTGAGCCCCAGTACTAGCAAACACACTTACAAAAATTCTTCTAAGTCTTCCCAGTGATTCAAGAGCTACATTTGGCCTTGCAGCTGCTTCCAAGCTCTCCCTCAAGGCTGAAAATCCTGACTATCCACCCCATGTTGTCACCACTTCATGAGTCATATTTCTTTGTCTCTCAAACTCAGTCCATCATGACACTGTTCAAGATTCTATACCACACAATGTCTTAGGATGGCAGGTATAATGCTAACTTAATTCTTTTGTTTTGATTTTTTAAATGCTGAAGTGGAAAAAGAGGTAAAAAGGTAGGCCATTCTAAATTCACTGATTTGTCGTAAGATCTCATGGAGTTTTAACAGGTCATACCCTTTTTTTTTTTTTTTTTTTTTCAGAAGTGGAATTGAGTTTCCAAAGTTGATAGGTTGATCAAGGTTGGCACTGAATCTATATCCAGATCTTGGTATGTTTTCCTCCCAGTTCCTGGAGAAAATAGGAGGTCAGAAGATTTATGAGTAAGCCTGGAGCTTTAGCATGAAAAAAATCACACATTATTGATGCAGAAAGAAAATCACAAAGCTAGGTGTTGGTGGCTATGCCTGTAATCCTAGCTACTCAGGAAACTGAGATCTGAGGATCGTGGTTCAAAGCCAGCCCAGGCAGGAAAATTTTATCCCCAATTAACACCAGAAAACTGGAAATAGCGCTGTGGCTCAAAATGGTAAAACACTAGCAAAAGCGTTCAGGGGCAGCACCTAGGCTCTGGTTCAAGCCCCATAGAAGGGGGAAGGATGGGAGGAAAGATGGAAAGAAGGAAGGAAAGAAATCATAATATAGTGCTAAGTGGAAATGTAAGCTTGTAGAAATTATTGTGTTGTATCTCATTTTCCATTTGTTGTTGGTACTGGGGTTTGAACTCAGGGCCTGGGTATTGTCCCTTAGCTTTTATACTCAAGGCTGGCATTCTATCACATGAGCCAGCTCTCCACTCCTCACTTTTTGCTGGTTAATTGGAGACAAGAGATTCTCACAGGATGGCTTCAAGCTGTGAGCCTCAGATCTCAGCCTCCCGAGTAGCTAGGATTACAGGTGTGAGGCACCTGCACCCCACTAATATCCAGTGTTAATAAGGAAATCCTCATTGAGAATGTGAGAGTTGGCCTCTGTATGCTGGTATACGGTGAGGAATTTATTTGCAAATTTTCCCTTTGGCCCCTTTGCTGGTGAAGAAAGATCCCAGTAGCACCTTGCAGCCCCCATGAATCCAGCCTTCCTATTTGATTAGTCCAAGTTAAATCATTCAGAAATGAATTTGTTTGCTCCTGTGAAAAAGACACCACTGGCCAGGCCTGAGGAAAGAATTGTCTAGCAGTGCTTGTCAGCTCAGTCTGAAGCCAGAAGATTAATTCTTTGCTGGGGAGCAGGGCCCAGTCTCAAAACTCAGACCTAGGTGGGAGTAACTCACAGGTCCCTCTATTTGTATTAATTCACTCCTTTTGGTGAATGGAATAAAAGGGAGAAAGCCTGGAGATCTGCTATCTGCATGTGGCAAATGCAAGGGTGTCTGTGACAAATGTGAGACCACAGAACTATGCCCAAGCTGCGTCATGAAGGAGGCTTTGATCAAGAAGGACCCACTGGACACTTTGCCTTTTGACTTTGTCCACAGACCCAGTAACTGGGTCAAGGAAAAAAAATAAAACCACCCATGGGTTAATAAATGTTGTATGACTAGGCTGGGCATCTAACCACTGTTTTTTTCTAAGCCCTTCATAATTTTAGCTCTTACATTCAAAAACATATAATTTTCATTCTTAACTAGCATATGAACAAATCCTTGGCAAATAAACTTTATAAAAGAGGGCTGCTCAGTGGTAGAGCACTTGCCTTGCATGCTCGAGGCCCTGGGTTCGATTCCTCAGCACCACATAAGAAAAAAGCCGGAAGTGGCGCTGTGGCTCAAGAGGTAGAGCGTGGTAGAGTGCTAGCCTTGAGCTGAAGAGCTGAGGGACAGCGCCCAGGCCCAGAGTTCAGGCCCCACGACCAGACCCAAAAAAAAAAAAACTTTATAAAAGAGAGAAATAGCTGTGCACTGATAGCTCATACCTACAATCCTAGCTGCTCAGGAAGCTGAGTCCTGAGGATCATGGTGTGAAGCTAGCCCCAGGCAGGAAAGTCTATGAGACTCATCTCCAGTTAACCATCAAAAAACTGGAAGTATGCTAGGCGTCAATGGCTCATGCCAGTAATCCTAACTACTTAGGAGGCTGAGATATGAGGATCCCGGGTCAAAGCTATCCCAGGCAGGAAAGTCTATGAGACTCTTATCTACAATTAACTACCAAAAGCCAGAAATGGCGATATGGATCAAAGTGGTAAGCACTAGTCCTGAGCACAAAAGCTCACGGACAGTATTCAGGCCCTGAGTTAAGTCCCAGGACTGACACAAAAAGAAAAAAGCTGAAAATGGAGCTGAGACTCAATTGGTTGAGCAGCAGCCTTCAGCAAAGTAGCTAACAGACAACCTGGGCCCTGAGTTCAGGCCCCAGTACCAGCGGGCACGTACACACATGTGTGCACACATACACACACACACACACACACACACACACACACACATGGCAGGTGTTGGGGTGGATAGGGAATACTATACTTTTTAAATTTATCTTCCCCCCACCCCTGCCCCCGTATCATAAGGTGCCTGAGCACTGTCCCTGAGCTCTTTTTGCTCAAGGCTAGTGCTCTACCATTTTGAGCCACAGCTCCACTTCCAGTTTTTGAGTGATTAATTAGAATTAAGAGTCTCACAGGGACTTTTTTTTTTTTTGTCGGTAATGGGGCCTGAACTCTGGGCCTGGGCGCTGTTCCTCAGCTCTTCAGCTCAAGGCTAGCTCTCTACCACTTGAGCCACAGCACCACTTCCAGCTTTTCTGCTTATGTGGTGCTGAGGAATCGATCCAGGGCCTCATGTATGCAAGGCAAGCACTCTACCACTAAGCCACCTTCCCAGCCCCTCACGGAGAATTTTCTGTCTGGGCTGCTGGCTTCAAACAACAATCCTCTGATCTCAACCTTCTGAGTTGCTAGGATTATAGGCAACTAAATTTATCTTTAAGTCCTTTTTCGGTCTTAGGTGCCCACAACTATGTATTCATATTCCAATACAGGGCATGTCATTGGAATTAAATCTCCTCTGCAGTCTGAATATCCATGTTGAGTTCTATTTCAGCTCCTTTATCAGCTTCACAGAGACAAGGTTCTCTAGCCTGAACTGTACCAAGGACATTGTCAGCCCTGAGTAAATTCTTTGCAAAGACCAGTCTGCCCAATGAAATGGGTCAAACTGCTGACACTTAAGAGTCACCAGTAGTACTTGGAAGCAAGACAAGAAATGAAGTGTGCATAAACCCAGTCTCGACTCTTCCAGGATGCTCAGCACAGCCTGTTTCTCTGTGACTAGGGGGCAGGTAGCCACTGAAGCAGGTCTGCTGCTGCTTACATCTATCTCAGCTAAGAAAACTATATTCCTGGCCAGGTGCCAGTGGCTCATTCCTGTAATCCTAGCTACTCAAGAGATTGAGATCTGAGGATCTGGTTTGAAGCCAGCTGGAGCAGATAAAAGCTAAGAGATTTACTTCCAGTTAACCAACAAAAAGCTAGAAGTAGAGGTGTAGCTCAAGTGGTATAGTGCCTTGGTGTGTGTGTGTGTGTGTGTGTGTGTGTGTGTGTGTGTGTGTGTGTGTGTGTGTGTGTGTGTGTGTACCTCAGTACTGGGATTTGAACTCAGGGCCTGGGCACTGTCCCTAAGCATTTTTGCTCAAGGCTAACACTCTACCACTTGACCCATAGCTCCGTTTCAGGCTTTTTGCTGATTAATTTGACATGAGTCTCATAGACTTTCCTACTGGTTTCTTTCTTTTTTCTTTTTTTATGTAGGTTGTGGGTCTTAAACTCTGGGCCTGGGCACTGTCCCAGCGCTCTTCAGCACAAGGCTAGCACTCTACCACTTGAGCCACATCGCCACCTCCAAGTTTCTCATGGTTAATTGGAGATAAGAGTCTCAGGGAAAGTCCGGGCGGGCTTTGAACTCAGATCTCAGCCTCCTGAGTAGCTAGGATTACAGGTGTGAGCCACCAGTGCCCAGCCCCCAGACTGGTTTCTAATCACTATTCTCAGATCTCAGATGCTACCCACTGACTGGAAAAAGCCAAGCAAGAGCATATATGTAGTTCAAGCCCCAACAATGGCACAAAAAGAAAAGAAAAGCAGCCAGGCGCTGGTGGCTCATGCCTGTAATCCTAGCTACTCAGGGGGTCGAGATCTGAGATTATGGTTCAAAGCCAGTCCGGGCAAGAAAATCCGTGAGACACTTATCTCCAATTAACCACCAAAAAAAAAATAATAATAACCAGAAGTGGAGCTGTGGCTCAAGTGGTAGAGCGCTAGCCTTGAGCTGAGGAGCTGAGAGACAGCGCCCAGGCCCAAAGTTCAAGCCCCACAACCAACAAAAAGAAAAGAAAGAAAATGATATTTTTTCTACCTTGCTTTGTTGCCCAGACTCTGATTGTGGCTCTGGCTCTCTTGGGAGAGGTATAACAGCCTATCTGCCCGCCAGAACGCAACAAAGACATTCAACACAGCCAGGACTGAGGAGGGCGGCTCTGAGCTTGTTCTCAGAGTTAGGCAGGAGCTTGTTTAGGACTCTGAAGATGGGTGCAGCATGCCAGCAAGCCTGCCCACTTGTATCACACTGTCCACCCCAGGGATGAGCAGGATTCAATGGGAGGCAGGGGAAGACTGCATGGCTCCGGCAGGGAGCAGAAGCCTGGGAGATGCTGACTTGTAACTCTGGGCTGTGGATCTCTTGTGTTTCAGAGGAAAGGCAGCCGGTTTCTAAAGGGCGAAGACAGGAACAGAGTGAGCAGCGGCTTAGACACGGGCCTGCCTCAACCTGTGGAGGGCAGAGCCTCCTTGGAGGAGAGCTTCCTTTCTGCCTCCAGAGAGTGCTGGAACAAGGAGGAGAGACCCAGCTTCTCGGGGTTCAGTGGCGGAGGCGGGGACAGTGGCCTGCGGGAGCTAGATGATGGACAGCTTGACCAGGAAGATGGAGTGACCCAGGTCACGTGCATGTGAACCGCAGGGCAAGCAATAGAAGGTCTTGTGAATCGTTATTAAAAATCATGGTCAACTGACATCCTTGTACTACTTGATCTGCATGTATGGAGTGGTTTTTTTAAGTTTGTTTTTTTTTTCCAGACTCAGCCTTTAATCTATGTAAACTTTGGCTCAACCTCCCCCCAGATGCAGGAGAATAACCAACATATTTGTAAATTTACACTCATGTTTACAATGCTCTCAACTAAAACATCCGTCTAAACAGGTTTCTTCTTAGCTTATTAGGCAACAAGCTACTTCAGTTTCTTGCGGATGTACAAAATATACTTTCCTGACCATTTAGGATAGAAAGACGGAATATGCCGACGCATAATTGATCTAGCATTCTCAGGAAGGTACAGTCTAACTTACAGTGAAAAAAAATAATCTCTCTGTCTCTGTCTCTCTCTCTCTCTTACACACACACACACACATACAACTGATTAGTGAAAATATTTATTTCCTGAATATAACGATCCAAGTCTCCTGTGACAATGTCCTATAATACAAAGCAAACTCCTATTTGTTAAAATATTCTTTGAAAAGAACCCCTCCTGTATGTCTTTGCCTTTCAAGGTGGCCACGTTACCTACCAACCCTGTACCGACTCATGGAATTCAAGCATCGTTGCTCCGAACAGCCTAGAGATACAGCGGAGCTCAGTCCAAGGAAAAGGCTGAATTTTCTTTCTTTTCCATTGCAAATAGTAGGAAGAGGAAAAACATAACAACTTCAAGTGCAAACTTAGGTCTTGTACCAATGTCCAGATTTGAGTTAGGTTTCATCTTGATCCGCTTCATCCGGAAGAGTGCTGAAGGAATTGTCTGTCAAGCCTTGGGCAGCACAGAGATGCTGCCAGCCTTCTCCCCTCCCCGCTTCACCCTGCCCTCCTTGTGCCCACTTTGATCTGTTCAAGAGATGGATTCAAATTCTGAAAAATGGAAGATTTCTATTTCTATGGGAGAGGCTGCTTTGAAAAGTGGGGAACTTCCAAGTGAATGAAAACTGACTTTCATTGATGAATTCAGCCTTCTATGTACTTTTTATGAGCATAGATGTTGACATTGTAGGATCATCTGAGTAATAAAATGTCATTTGTTACTGAACTAACATTCTATTGAACACGAATACTTCTCTTTTATGTATCAGACAGGCATGTGTCACGTTGTCACACAGCTTGACTTAGCCCATCTCCACGAATGAATTTCTGGTGAGAGGAGCAGAAATGGCCCGTGTGTCATGCAGAAGCAGGCCTGCTACAGGCATGAAGGAACTGCAGATCATCCTGCTTAGTCTTATTCTGTGGAAATAGTGACCGAGAATATTTGTGGAAATGTTTCATTTTGGTTTTGTCTTACATTTTAGAGGGGCCTGAGCTCTATTCAAGAGTTAGTAAGTCAGGCCTGGTAGCTCACCCTGTAATCCCAGCATCCAAGGAAACTGAGGCCATAGGATCATGAGATCATGAGTTCCAGGCCAACCTGGCCTACACAGTGGAGCATTGTCTCAAAAACAAAGAGTTGGTATATTTTTGGTAATAAATAGATAAAAATAAATCATTAGCTATTCACAAAATGCCATAACACTGGGAAAGACAGAAATAGACTCAAAAAGATCAGTTTTCCTCTATGCTGTCAACAAAAGGTAGAGCCTCTTTTTTTTGGTGGGGGGGAGGGGGTCCGGTCGTGGGGCCTGAACTCTGGGCCTGGGTGCTGTCCCTGAGTTCTTCAGCTCAAGGCTAGTGCTGTACCACTTGAGCCACAGCACCACTTCCGGCTTTTTTCTTTTTGCTTATGTGGTGCTGAGGAATTGAACCCAGGTGCACGCAAGGCAAGCACTCTACCACTGAGCCACCTTCCCAGTCCCAGAGCCTCTTCTATTATTCTGCCAGTGCTCATTAAGAAGAGAGAAGATTCTGGTGGCTCACGCCTGTAATTCTAGCTACTCAGGAGGCTGAGATCTGAAGATTGTGGTTCAAAGCCAGCCCGGGCAGAAAAATCCATGAGACTCTTATCTCCAATAAACCACCAGAAAACCAGAAGTGGTGCTATAGCTCAAGCAGTAGAGCAGTTGCCTTGAGCTGAAGAGCTGAGAGACAGCGCCCAAGCCGAGTTCAAGCCCCACAACCAACAGAGAGAGAGAGAGGGAGAAAGAGAGAGAGAGCATTTAATTAAAGGAAAATTCATGAATATGCTCATTACTTTTAATTTTAAAATTTTGTATAAGCATATTTTCTTTTTTTTTTTTTTGTATGTGTGTGTGTGTTGTGTGCTAGTCCTAGGACCTAAACTCAAGGCCTAGGCACTGTCCCTGACTTGTTTTTTTTGTTTGTTTTTTTTTGTACTGGGGATAGAACCTGCAGTAATGCACCTACTAGGCAAGCACTTTGTCACTGAGCTACACACAGCCTCCTGAGCATTTTTTGCTCAAGGCTAATACTCTACTATTTGAGCCACAGCTCTACTTCTAGCTTTTGGGAGATAATTTATGGGAGTTGAGCCTCTCACAGACTTTCCTGCCTGGGCTGGCTTTCAACCACAATCTTCAGATCTCAGCCTCCTGAGTAGGTAGTATTACAGTTGTGAGCCATTGGTACCCAGCTACAGTTTATTTTCAATCTACATTATTTCTTTTTTTTATGTTTTTGTTGTTATAAAGGTGATGTACAGAGGAGTTACATTTGCATAAATCAGGTTATGAGTACATTTCTTCTGGACAATTGTCACCTAAATTATTTTTTCTTATTGTAAAAAGCCTTTTTAGCCAGGCAGGGTGCCACACACCTGTAGTCCAAGCCACTCAAGAAGCTAAGATATGAAAATCAATTCAACCCAGGAGTTTGGGCAACATAGTCCAGATCATGTCTTTAAAAACAAAACAAAAGCACCTAAATCTTTTCATTAGAATAAACTTGCAAAAGAAGAAAAGAAAAGTGAGAGAGGGGGTGGGTTAGGAGCCATGGGCGACAATGTTGTCAGATACTTTGTGTTCATATATTGCTTGTAGAATGGGAACTTCCTTATACAACCACTTAAAGATAATAAAAAAAAATTAAGAAGAATAAACTTGCAAGTCTATCTTAAAACCCTTTTTCATAAGCATTAGCTTTAAGTTATCCCCAAAGTGGGTGATAAGTTTCTCTGATAGTGAGAAATGACTGAGTGGCCTACAGTACTTTAAATAGAGAGCTACTCCTGAACGACCTAGATTTTTGTTTGTTTGTTCTGTTGGTCATGGGGCCTGAACTCTGGGCCTGGGCGCTGTCCCTCAGCTCTTCAGCTCAAAGCTAGCGCTCTACCACTTGAGCCACAGTACCACTTCTGGCTTTTTCTGCTTATGTGGTGCTGAGGAATCAAACCCAGAGCCTCAGGCATGCAGGGCAAGCGCTCTACCACTGAGCCACCTTCCCAGCCCCAAGGTCTAATTTTTTTTTTTTTTTTGCTACAGTTTGAATTCAGACCCTGCATTTGCTAGGCAGAGCACTTTATGATTTGCGCCACATTCCCAGTTCATATCCTATTAGTCTATCTATCTATATCTGTAGCTCTAGCTATAGATATATAGTTTTGGGGGTTTTTTTTGTTTTTTTTTTTTTTTTTTGGTCTGTTGTGGGACTTCCTCTGGGCCTGGGCGCTGTCCCTCAGCTCCTCAGCTCAAGGTGAGCACTCTACCACTTGAGCCACAGCGCCACTTCTGGTTTTCTGGAGGTTTAATGGAGATAAGAGTCTCACAGACTTTCTTGCTTGGGCTGGCTTTGAACCTTGATCCTCAAATCTCAATCTCCTGAGTAGCTAGGATTACAGGCGTGAGCCATCAGTACCTGGCAAGTCTATATTTTTAAATGGGCAGGAGAGATGAGGTCTTCAAAATTTGGATTCCATATACACAAATTATTAAATGTGAGTAATTGTTTGTTGTTATTGTAGTTGTTGTTGTTGTTGTCAGTCCTGGGTCTTGAACTCAGGGCCCAAGCACAGTCCTTAAGCTTTTTTGCTCCAGGCTAACCCTCTATCTCTTTAAGCCACAGTGCCACTTTCAGTTTTCTGGTGATTAATTGGAGATTAGTCTCATGGGGACTTTCCTGTCCTAGATGGCTTCAGAGATCCTCAGAGCTCAGCCTCCTGCATAGCTAGGATTACAGGCATGAGCCATCAGAGCCCAGCTAATGAAAATAATCTTATCTGTATATATCTTATTATATATTCAGTTCTTTTCATAATACTATTATTAGCCTTAGCGGGGGTGTTGAATCCCAAGGGCCTTGTAAAAGCCAAGTGCAAGAACAAAGAGAATGCCAAATTAAATGAAGAACTAAATAATAAAGAGATGTCAACAATGAAATGGCAGAAATGTTAGAATTATTTTAAAAACATTTTACCCAGCACTGGTAGCTCATGTCTATAATCCCAGCTATTCAAGAGGCTGAGATCTGAAGGATCACAGTTCAAGCCAGGCTGGTCAGAAAAGTTGGTTAGACTCCATCCTCAAATAACCAACATGGCTGGAACAATGGTTCAAGTGATAGAGCACCAGCCTAGCTAGGCCCTGAGCTCAAACTCTAATACCACCAAAAATACAAATAAGCTTGAAAACACCATAAAAATGCTTCAACAGACAATTATGAAATAAATGGGGAAAAATAGGAAGCAAAGACAGAAAATTTCAAAAGAAAAAAGATATTTTGGAAAGGAAATACACAACAACCAAACTAGAGAATTCAATGTATGGGCTTGCCAGCAAATGGAGGTGACAGAAGAATCTATGAACTGGAAGATAAAATGACAGGAATTACCCTTTCTCAAAAACAGAAAATACAGATGGGCAGGAACGGAAGGAAAGGGGAGGATAAGAATAAGGGGAGAGAAGTAGAGGGAAAAAAAAATCAAGATCCTTAGGACCTTGGAGTATAACAAACTGGTTTGACAACCCAGCACCACATAAACACAAAAAGCCAGAAATGCTTGAGCTGAATACCTGAAGGACAGCGCTAAAGCCCAGAGTTCAAGTCCTACAACCACCTATAGAGGTAATGGTAGATTAGATATCCCTGTCGTGA